TTTTAAAGATTTTATTTATTTATTCATGAGAGACAGAGAGAGGGGGAAGCAGAGGCAGAGGGAGAAGCAGGCTCGCTGTTGCAGGACTCGATCCCAGGACCCTGGGATCATGACCTGAGCCGAAGGCAGACACTTAACCGACTGAGGAACCCAGGCGCCCTATTTTTTTTTTTAATAATTTTTCTTTCTTTCTTTTTTTAATGCATCAATCATGGTTTCCTCCTCGAACTGTTGTCTGAGCAGCTTCAGTTAGGAAAGCTGAAACTCAAGAGGAAAAGCAGAAAAAACCGAACCTACGTAACATTCTGCGTCTGCAGTGACTTGGGGAGTACTGCTTGAACTTCTGACCCCACTTATGCAGCACGTACACTGGAAAGGAAACTGTTCTACTTTCTCTGTGGTTGGGTTCACTTTTCTCATATCTTGATGTTGACAATTACGTAGAGTTGGTGCATATCACCGATTGAATCTCAGCACTCTCAAGGGCAAAAATGAATCTGCTCACTGGTGTGTGTTTTTTCTTGAACAGGAGATTGTCTCATCCCAGGCTGGTCCAGCTCTATGGAGTGTGCATCCAGCAGAAGCCACTGTATATTGTGACCGAGTTTATGGAGAACGGCTGCCTGCTGAACTATCTCAGAGACAGAAGGGGGACGCTTACGAACGAGATGCTGCTGAGCATGTGCCAGGATACCTGTGAAGGGATGGAGTATCTGGAGAGGAACTGCTTCATCCATAGGGATTTAGTAAGTAGGATGCAAGCTTGCTGATTATTCTAGGCATTATAGTCAGAAGAATATGACAATTGAGGACTCACTATTTTTTTTAAAGATTTTATTTATTTATTTGTCAGACAGAGAGAGAGGGAACACAAGTGGGGTGGGGGAGAGGCAGAGGTAGAGGGAGAAGCAGGCTCCCCGCGGAGCAGGGAGCCCGATGCGGGGCCTGATCCCAGGACCCTGGGATCATGACCTGAGCCCAAGGCAGACGCTTAACCGACTGAGCCACCCAGCATCCCGAGGACTTTCACTATTTTAAATAAAATACCTTTGGCTTAATTTCTAAACCCTTTCCTATTGTAATTGTCTGGGAAAGATAGCTTTATTTTTAATTGCCCCTTGATGCTGTAGCCAAGTGAGGCATTACTCTAAATATGCCTTCAACTGATTAACTACCATGCTCATCAACTAACCAAAGCTATTTTACTTTTCTTTCCTCTCGCCTTCCCTCCCTTCTGCCATTACTTCCACTTTTCTTCCTTTCAACCAATAATCAAATACGTGACAAGGGCCAGTATCGGCCAAGCGCTCTGCCGGGCACTGGACAGACAGTGGTGAAGATCAGGCTCCAGCGGCTCCCCCAGCCCCCATGTGGGGGTGTTTTTAGTTATAACAGTATCACAGTAGTGTTACCTCCTCACTGAGGAGGACTAGAAATGTTAAATCATTCTGTGCTGGAATGCTCCGAACATTACATCCTAAGAAAAAAAATTAACGCTTGTCTTGCCCCAAATGCCCCAGTGAGTTCAATGGGCAGCCACGATTCAGAAGTACCGCTCTGGAGGTGGACAGCCTGGGTTGAAATGTGGCCTTTGTTTCTCACTAGCTGTGTGATGTTGGGCAAGCTAGTTAACTAGGACGTGGTATGAATTACACTACCTTTCTTCTGTGGACTTGTTGGGAAGATTACATGAATTAATATGGGTAAGCACTTACAATTGCTCTTGGCATATAGAAGAGCTCAGCTCCGCTCTCCCATAGCAATAGCCCTTCCATAGCCGTTTAGACCACTGTTCTGTCTCCCTCAAGGCATGTCCCCCAGTCCCCAGCATGTAGTAGGAACACATTTTTGAAGGGATGAATATGATATCTATTCCACTGAACTTACTTTCCTAGTCTCTGCAGGTCAGTCTTTCCTGACAGGGTTAGAATTCAAAACTTCCTTGGGTGATGGTTCTGGTCATTCTCTTTGCTCCAAGTGGCTTTTCTCAGATCCCCCTGTTTCTTCCTTGATTGCTTTCTTTTGTGTTCTATTTTATTCATCTTTATGCCATTTAAAATCTATCGGCTAAGCATGAGTCTTTTCCTTGTCAAGGGCTTAACTTGTGGTTTGGCTTGGAGATCCTTGCTAGTATTTGTCAAAATCTTCTAAACTGGCTCCTTCTGGCTTACCATTTTAAGTTCCTTGTTTTTGTTTTGGGACTAACTGAAGCACCTATCAGCTTAGAAGAGAACAAAATCTATCAAACTGTTGACTTACATGAGGCTCAATAACCAAATCAATGATTTTCTTTGATGAAGCTCTCTGAAAATGGATTATTTTGGCATCAAATACATGGTCTCTGCATTATTTAAAAATACACACTGTTCTTAATGCCAGGATTCATAGTTTAACGTCTCTTTGATGTAGTCTTCCTAGTTATAAAAAATACTTGTTGAGAGGGATTAAAAACTTTTAAAGGGAGAAGTATTAAAATTGCTTTTTACTCTTTTTTTTGGTTATTCCTTTTTTCTTTCTTTTTTTTTTTTTTTTAAGATTTTATTTATTTATTTGAGAGAGAGTGAGCGAGAGAGAGCACAAGCCAGGGGGAGAGGAAGAGGGAGAAGCAGACTCCCCACTGAGTAGGGAGCCCGATACGGGGCTCGATCCCAGGACCCCAGGATCATGACCTGAACCAAAGGCAGACGCCACCACACTGACTGAGCCCACCCAGGCGCCCTTTTTGGTTATTTCTTTGAAGAATCATTAAAATCCATCATGAGGGCAGATATATTGAATCCTACATAACATCGATGTGTATTACCAAAAAAATAACATGGCTGCTCATAGAAGTAGTGTGGGGCCCCAAGTAAACTAAGGAAAACAAGAGTAGAAACAAAAGAAAGACTATATTCAAATGCGGATTCTTTTCTTTCTATAGGCAGCAAGGAATTGTCTGGTCAGTGCTGCAAGTATAGTGAAAATATCGGACTTTGGAATGACGAGGTATAATATATATAAATATTTTTTGTTTACTCATAAGAGGGAATCTTATATCTCTCTACTAACAAACTGAAGATGTCAACAGCATTGTTTTTTGTTTTTTCCTGGGAGGAGAATGTTGATATTGTTGCTTGGCCTGTTGCCCTGCTTTGAATTTTAGGACATAACCCAATGTTAGCTGTGAGGTAAATGGATACTTCGGACTATTCTTCGGATCTTCTTTCAGGTTATTTTCAGGCATAACTTAAAATTTTAAAAAAAAGTCTCAAACTACTTGTTATATGCATGAGGTTAAGAAAAAAGCTCTTCTGATATATGTATATTTCTGAAAGATAAAAGGATAAATTTGTTTAGTTCTGATTTTTCCATGTCATTGTCATGCATTTCTATGATCAAGTGCAGTAGTTGACTTTAAGACTACGACTCAAGTGTGGAAAATCTAACCATATTTTCTGCCACTCAATGCCATTGATATATATATATATTTTTAAATGTACTAAAATTTAATCATCCATAAAAGCTGTAATTTAATCTGATAGTAAAACACAAGAAGCAATATTAGAGTTGGTTTTGAGCGCCCTTTCCTTCAGGTTGCTAAAAATTCAATGCCCGTGAATTCAGAGTTTCTCTCTGACTCGCTTCAGGCTCAGATTCAGTGTTTCATGGGGCCACGTCCTGGAGAGGGCATGTCTGGTCCTTGTTGTTAACCACTGACAACTGGTATCCTTGCGGCCACCATCGTCCTGTTTTGTCCTTGGCGGAACATCTGCATAGACGGCTGCTGACTCATCCCATTCTGTCTGCAAGATGCTGTCATACAGGCATTCTCCATGATTAGAAAGCCCCTGGAGCTATCTAAGGCCCTATTTGCTTAGGAACATCCACAGCTATTTGTTTTTGGGAATCTTTTTGCTTTTCCTGGGGCTTGACCTGGGGAAGAGGCAGAGGCTCTGTTTTGCTCTTGAATCCCAACAACCCTCAGTGGGGCCTTCTTTCCCTGCCATGTCAGCAGGGCAGTCCTTGTAGAGCACAGGGGACAGGACCCTGCCTCAGTCACCCACTACAGGCTAATACTCCTCCCCTTTCCCTTTGTTCTCTGCCACCTCCCAGCTCCAGAGTTTCGTACGCTAGAGGGATGGATGGTGGGGTGGGGGGCGGGGAGATATCACTCTTATCTATGAGCCATTCTCCCCAATATTTTAACAGCTCAGTCCTTCTCCTTCTCTGGAAATCTTAGACTTTTGAAACTCAAAAGCTATGAAAAATGGCTTTTTCTCTTTTGTTTTCTATTAGTTACTCTTTCCCTGAGTAGGATGACTTCTGGCTCAATAAAGTGCTTAAAGGTAGGGTGAGGTAGGGTGCGTGGGAAAAAAAAGAGAGTGTGAGGAAGCACTGATAAATAATTCAAAACTACTATGCTGCACACTCCAGCTGCTACAAGTTAGTCATCATCTCTTCGCTCTTCTCTCCAGATTCTTCTCTCCAGATTCCCCTACTTGGATATTCCTGCCTGCAAGCCTCAAAAGAGAGGGAGGGTTTAATATTTTTGTAGTTTTTAAAAGGAACTGGTAGTTATTACTGATTTCATACAGGGCCATTTTAATGCATTGGATATTTTTCACATCAAATGTATTATGTTCAATACTCTTATTTCCCCCTTTCTCTGCCTCACAAAACCCATCTGCATGAAGAAAAAAAATAAGGCATCCAGCTTTGATTTTATTCTTTGCCATATATATTTATTTTTTTATTTCCTTTTTATAATCTTGGTTGTTAGAGCACTCAGCAAGCTCCTTTGCAAAATTAAGAATTTGTCATAACTGAAATAATCATTGGGTTCCTGATTCCAATTGGTTTTGGATTGAAGAATTGTCTGGTTTTCTGAGACTCAAATAAACCCAATTGAGGCTTGGTTTAAGGAGGAATCACTATATAGGATACCTTCCCATTTTGGTAACAAGAAGAGAAACTTTGGGGGGTAAAAATAAATGCTTTCTCTTTTAAAAATTTATTTATTTATTTGAGAGGGAGAGATTGAGCAGGTGAGGGGAGGGGCAGAGGGAGAGGGAGAGAGAATCCCCAAGCAGACTCCCTGCTGAGCACGGAGCCTGACGGGGCTTGATCCCAGGACCCTGAGACCATGACCTGAGCCAAAATCAAGAGTCAACTGCTTAACTGATTGAGCCACCCAGGCACCCCTGCTTTTTCTTTTAGAACTTAAGGTAGACTAAGGGGGTTTGAACTAAATGGAACTTGGAAGTAATTAGCACAATGTGCTTTGAATCTAATGACCTTAGGTACGTTTTGGATGATGAATATATCAGTTCTTCTGGAGCCAAGTTCCCAATCAAGTGGTCCCCTCCTGAGGTTTTCCATTTCAACAAGTACAGCAGCAAATCTGACGTCTGGTCATTTGGTGAGTAAATTTGATGTTCATTTGATGGAAATTGATTTAATAAAAGGCCAATCTTTTTTAAGCTTTGATTTCTTAGTATGATGTGGGGTTCTAGAAAGGTCTTCTTGGAACTGTCCTTCTGTCTTAAGTGTTCTAAACACGTCCAGGCTGTCTTTGGCAACCAGTGTCATACACCTTCTTATATAAGTCTACCTTTTGGATCTTTTCCTTTCCTGATGAGCATTTGCAGGAAAACCGTAACAGAGAGTCTACTGATCTAGAAAACAAAGGCAGCAACCTTTTTTACACCACAGAGACTTGCAAGGAAAATAGATCTAAGGTGTCACTGAATTTTGAGTGTAATTAATAAACTTCATTTCTAACTACTAAGCAAGACTACTGCATTTATTTCGTTACCTTCAGATTTTGTGGTATTTAGATGTAGGCCTCCTTGGGAACTGTCAATTGGAGTTTATATTGTGTAATGTTCTTCATCGAGAAAGAGATGTTGCAGATCCATGTCCAGTGGAATCTGTTCTTTGAGTCGATTTTCAAAAAGTGGCGGTCAATTTGCAATAAGCTATCTATTCTCTTTCACCCAGACCTCTCTGGATAGCTTCTTGGGTTTGGAGACACCTCTGCACCCTCAGAAGGGTGTGAATTTTATTGTCCACGTAAGGTGAAACTTGTATCATTGATCCCTTTAGTTCTCCACTGACTTTTGGTAGTTTTGGCAGGTGACATTTTACGCTCTCCAGGAGAGCAGTCAAGTTGTGAGACTAACAGATAGCAACACAGGGACCTCATCAAGTAGGTGCAGAACAATTAGAATATCTGAGTTTTACCGGACCACTTGTCTCTATCTCCCACTGGACAGTGAGCTGCTTGAGCCCATGGACTGGTTTCTAGAGTCTTCTGGCTCTAGCATATGCCCTGCCTCTAATCAATGCATAATACATACTCTTAGAATAAGTGAATAATTAAATGAAGTTCAGATGGGAGCCTTGAAGGAGTTTCACTAATCAACCAATCAATGATTATAGAACACCTACTCACGTACCAAGCCCCTGCTAAATATTCTGCTCTACCCAGCAGTCTCATCTTTCAGTGGGCAGAAGGAACTCGTGCCTTCTACGGGCTGGCAAACTCATGGCCACACAATTCTGTCATTTTCTATGGGGTGGCAGAGAGGCTTGTTGATTTCAGGGTGTGAAGACAGGAACATACTTAGAAATGAAAAATGTTGGCAGCGTTTTCTTTCAATCGGGAGGCGGTCAAGACCAGTGGGAAAGAAAGGCATTGTTTTCACTTGGAATATTGTCAGATTACAGGCCTGTTCGAAAACGAAGACGCACACGGGCTGATACCTAGACAGAACTGTTCTCATTCTGGACCGATTATAACACAGAGGCCGGAAGAGGAAAAAAAGGCCTTGTAGTTTCAAAGCGTTCTTTCAGTTTCAAGTAACTTCTTGTTTACATGCATTTCGTGTTGTAGGAGTTTTGATGTGGGAAGTTTTCACGGAAGGAAAAATGCCGTTTGAAAATAAGTCAAATTTGCAGGTTGTGGAAGCCATTTCTAGAGGCTTCCGGCTGTACCGGCCTCCACTGGCGCCGATGGCCGTCTACAAGGTCATGTACGGCTGCTGGCACGAGGTGAGTGTCCCTTACTCTCCTGGGAGGTGGGCAGTCCCAGCATCAGAGCACAGGCCTGAGTGTGACAAACATTACCCCCCAGGACTCCATGGGGGTGGGGGGGGTGGAGGGGGTGGAGGAGTCTCTTTCTTGATAAGGATCCCTAAGAGCGGGAAGTGCTATTTCTGTCTGAAACTCCCACTACGAGGTCGTCAACCCATTTTGTTTTTAATGATGGCCTCTTACCTGAGGAATTCAGCGCCTTTTTCAGGTCTTCTTTGTCTGAGATTGGTTCTTGCAGAAACTCTTGTGGTGACTAGAGCCTCAGCGGTGAGATGTTTCACTCCCTTTGAGAACTGGTGGGTGGAAACTAAGGGTAGAATCAGGTTTGGTAAATGCTGACGTGGAAAGAGAAGGATGTTGTTTGTATTTACTTCATTCTACTATAATTTGTCTTGCTTCTCCAAGGCTAACAGTAATGGATTTCATCTCTTTTTGGCACTCAAGATTCCTGATAGATTAGGAATAAAGGCAGAAAGTGTGTCAGGAACTTGTACTCAGGAAATTCCCTTTGGGGGGAGGGCAGGGGTCAGTCCAGTTTTTCTTTTTCTCGAGATGCCACGCTTCAAAATAAAGCCAGACATGTCCTGTCTTTTCTGGGCACAGACTCAATGCACCTCTCCCCTTCATATCAGACTCCCCTGTGACTTTTGACAGCTTTCTCTTTCCAGCTGACAGTGTCCATCCAGAAAAACCACAGCTGGATGAGGAGTTTCCTCCTGGCTGAAAAAGAAGTCACTTGATTCGCAATCCACAAACACTGAAAAACTCAGTATTTCAAGAGCAGTGTAGTTGTTCACATTCCAGAGAAGTATTAATTTTATAAAGATCCTTGATGTATGAAAATATTTTACATATGATGAACTGCTCTGCAAGGAATTTTGAAAAACAGGCACATGTTAAGTGAGCTGTTAGCAGCAAATGGCTGTCTTAAGAGCTTCCCTGCAATAACAACGTGGAGAGCTTAGAAATAATTGCTTTTGGAACAATAGACATGTACAGTGCATAAAATATAATATTTACTGAGATTTTATTTATCTGTGGAGAGGAAACAGAAAAGGGAATAAATCGGACGCTGGCAGAAGGCCCGAGTAAATGATGCCAGTCTCAAATCGTAGTCCGAGCATTGATTAAAACAGTGTTTTTGGTGATGCTGATTTATTTGTTTGCAAAAGGTGATTTGCCTACAACTTTTTAAGGTAATCTAAACACCCTAAGTGCTTAGGCACCTTTAAATTCAAATGTGATTGTATTATCACACACACACACACACTGATATACACATACTGTTTCATAGGCTCTTCTACCTGCAGAACGACAGCCTTCTCCAAAACCTCCAGAAATTATTCCTGGAACCCCAAGGAGAACTTGAATGTGTGCTTACACACCCTTCTGCTTGGTCCTTTTTATTGATGCCCTCTGTTTATAAAGCACTAAGGGTGGTGTCTCCCCACAAACTCTGCAGCCAGTTATCCTTGTGAGAATGTGGCTACCACATGTGGTTCTATTTCCCATGGATTTTATTTTCTTATGTTATGTTAATCACCATACATGACATCATTAGTTTTTGATGTAGTGTTCCATGGTTCATTGTTCGCGTATAACACCCAGGGCTCCATGCAGAACATGCCCTGTTTATTTCCCATGGATTTTAAAGATGCCAACAGTGTCATCTTTTGTTCTTCATGGAGCCAAAGCCAAACCACATCCCTTGGTGAGATAAGATCAACGTTCCAGTCCTCGTCTCTGTGACCAGGATTTTGTTGACCGAGCCTTAAGACAGCACAGTGGGTGCTCCAGGACCTGCAAAGACCCTTATGAAAACACGCCTTTTGCTTTCTGATTGAAATCCTTCTTTCTACAGGGAATCAAGTCTAGTAAATAACTGGGCAGAGCCTGGGAGCCTGGAACTCTGGATGCCCATTCTCTCCCAGCTCTTCCTTTATCCCATGCATATCAAGTCATCCAAATAAATCTCTAGGGCAATGCTATCCAATGGAACTTCCTGTGATGATGGAACTGTGTTATGTCTGTGCTATCCTATATGGTGCCTGGCTATTGAAGAATTGGAAGGTGGCTAGTGTGACAAAGAACTGAACTTAAAAATGTATTTAATTTTCATTAATTTAAATTTAAATGGTCTCAGGTGGCTTGTGTTTTTTGGCAGCATTCTCTACTCTTATAGTTTCACACTCATGCTTCACTCAACTACCAATCATGCCCGGTGTGTCAGCCCAGATATCTTTCTCTTCTACCTGTGGAGAACCAGCCTGGTTCCAGGTCCCTGCCAGCAAGTTCCAGAACTGGTATCTGAGTGAGTTTCAGGCTGAGCTGACCATCTCTGTTTCTCTTTTCTAGAAGCCTAAAGGCCGCCCTACATTTGCTGAGCTGCTGCAGGTTCTCACAGAGATTGCAGAAACCTGGTGACTTGAATGGAATGCCAACCCAGAGGATCATCTCGCAAAATTATCACAAAAGGAAATCCTGCGTGGGGTGACTGATGACGAACACCTTCCTTTAGAGTGGCTAACTCTTAGAAACAGTGCAAAGATCACAGGCTTTTCAAACTTTAAAATTTAAGAATATTCTGGAAGTAATTTTTCTACACGGATGTTGGAGAGGGACTTCCAAACTCTCCTTTTTTCTGTACTATTCTTTGTGTCCCGTATGTGAAGAAGGGAAAAATGCTCCATAACCATCTTCATAGTGGCTACTCTTCATGAGAATAGCCCTGAGAGCCCCTGAGGATATATGAAAACTTGACTCATTACAGAGCTGAGGAAATTTCTTTTCTGAAGAGGAGTGACATCCTTCACTTCAGGGACTCACTGAAATAAAGAAATTCTGCTAACGCATGGAATAAAGGAGCCTTCTCTGCAGAATTTAATGCTTCTGAGCTGTACAGATCTTTATGGAAAATGCACCTTTACAAACCACATGAATGTGAACATTCTTAAGCTGTCTTTTATAATCTTCCTTATGTTATTTAACAAATTGGTTTTACACATATCTGATTATTTTGGAGACAGTTTCTTGTATTCCAGTTTTTTTTTGTTGTTTTTTTTTACGTAGGCACGGAGCCCAACATGGGGCTTGAACTCACGACCCTGAGATCAAGACCTGAGCTGAAATCAAGAATCCCACGCTTAACCAACTGAGCCACCCAGGTGCCCCACTGTGTTCCAGTTTTAAACACTGTGAAGGCAAAGTTCTTTGAACACGACCTGGTGACATTTCTATTTCCAGTAATATCCATTGTCAGGGTCAGTTCAGAACCTGAATTCAATGCTAAAATTTCATACTTTGTGTGAAATTGGACAATTTAAGAGACTTTTAAAAAAATGTGTAATGTACCCATTTTATTTTGTTTTCCTCATAGTGTAAAAGAATGCTTATTGCATAGTTAGGTAAAGAAAAGTTATATGTTTTGAAGATTTTATATCTTTTTTAAGTTAAATTCTTAAAAAATTTTTTTTGATACCACATACGATGTGATATTAGTTTCAGATGTACAACATAGTGATTCAATATCTCTGTGTGTTACGCTGTGCTCACAATGTAGCTCCCATCTGTCACCATATAATGCTATTACAGTATCATTGACTCTATTCCCTATGCTGTGCTTTTTATCCCCGTGATTTATTTATTCCATAACTGGAAGCCTGTATCTCCCACTCTCCTTTACCCATTTTGTCCATCCCCCTATCCTCTTCCCTATGGAAACCATCAATTCATTCTCTGTATGTATGGGTCTGCTTTTGTAAGAAGCCTCATTTTGCTGTAGAAAGTACCTCCAGGACCTTTCTAGAAGATGACTTGTTTTTTTCCCTAAGAACAAGAGGAGGCAAAAACAAGATACCCAAATGTTACCTCAAACTCCATTATTTCTGAAGCCCAGGGTTTTGAATTCAAGATAAAATAACCAGGAGTCATAATTAAATCTTAATTTCTCATGTATTGTTTGTAGAAATGATTGGAAATTTATCTTCATCATTGTGAGTGCTTCACAATTCCCATAGGAGGAAGGGTGTGGCAGAAAGTACACATGTTATCACCATAAGGTTTCACAATGGGATGCCGTCCTACCCTGCATCATGGTTCTGCATTAGGATTCTTGTTAGAATCTAAGCTGCTGGCTGGTAGTAGTTGTGACTTTTAAGTCGTATTTCCCCACTGCAAAAATGACATATCTGAATATCCGTGGTGCTCGGTCAACACGCACTGAAATAATGAGCATCAGGCACGAGAGTGCTCAACTCTGATAATTCGAGTGGTGGTCTCAGAAATATTTGTATGAGACCCTGTGCTGTTTCTGAAATGATCATAACCCTTTTCCTCATGACTATGGGAGGTGAGACAGGCCTCCTACTACTGAGACCCTAGTTCAAGTGAGATATGCCAAAGTTTAGTGCAAGAGGGTATGAGACTATCAAACAGCAAAAGCCAAGACCAGGGGGAAGGTTGATGTTATAACCAACTGAAAAGTTAGGGTCGACTACAGAATCTCTGCCATCAGTGCAAAGCCGGGAGACAGAGTACGGATCAAGAATGAGGCCAGAGGGGCGCCTGGGTGGCTCAGTCGTTAAGCGTCTGCCTTCGGCTCAGGTCATGATCCCAGGGTCCGGGGATCGAGCCCTGCATCGGGCTCCCTGCTCGGCGGGAAGCCTGTTTCTCCCTTCTTGTGTTCCCTCTCTCGCTGTGTCTCTCTCTGTCAAATAAATAAATAAAATCTTTAAAAAAAAAAAAAAAGAATGAGGCCAGGGATAAGTCATTGCTAGAGGTCAGATGGCAGCCCCTGGCACGTCTAGGAGCATATGTCGGGGGTGGTAGGCATGCTCTCTTGCCTTGTAATTTAACACTTGTGGAAAGTTCGACACACCAAGAAACAGAAGTAACTGGAGCTATCACGTGTGTAACGGAGGCTCCAGATAACGTGTGAGTTTGGAATGTCTTTAGACAGAGATTCAGCATCTTTGTCTAGCAGAAGAAAAAATTTCTTGAAAAAAGAAAACAAAAGAAAAGGAAAAATTTCCTTAAAGAAGAAGTCACACAACGTCTCCTGGAAAGGACTATGTGGGGGAACCGATCTCAGTATTAGTTACTGATAGGGGTTCTCTGTGGATGGCTTACGTAGTCTGGGGTGAGTTAGTGCCATAAAGAGCTCTGCATAAGAAATGAACGGTTTAGGGGTTGGATGTGAGTGAGAGCCCTAAAAAAGAGAAGACAAGGGTTCAAAGAAGAGAGGGGAAGCCCAGAAAAATGGAAGGAATTTGGAGGCCAAGCATAGACTATGTTCAGCGTAAATACCCACTTGGCAAGAATAGTCAAAGGATTTTTTTTTCTTTAGTAAACTTTTTTTTTTTTTAAAGATTTTGTTTATTTATTTGAGAGAGAGAATGAGATAGAGAGAGTACATGAGAGGGGGGAGGGTCAGAGGGAGAAGCAGACTCCCTGCCGAGCAGGGAGCCCGATGCGGGACTCGATCCCGGGACTCCAGGATCATGACCTGAGCCGAAGGCAGTCGCTTAACCGACTGAGCCACCCAGGCGCCCTTTTAGTAAACTTTTTATTGAAGTACAGTGCATGGTCCCGCTACTGTATTGACAACATGTTTGGCGGTCAAACTCACATGACACAATAGCATTTGGTCCAGCAGTATGTTTGCTCAGCTCTTCAGAGAGATTCAGGACAGGAAAAAACATGCACAGACCTTCAGTTTCAATGAAGCCTCCCAATTGTCCATGTGCATAGCTGCTTGGGTCCCCCCTCACCCACCTAGAGAGTGTGTGTATTTGATTGCTGGTGATGAGGCCATAGTATGTGGAGGTCATCTTTATTTTATTTTATTTTTAAAGATTTTACTTATTTGACAGAGAGAGACACAGCGAGAGAGGGAACACAAGCAGGGGGAGTGGGAGAGGGAGAAGCAGGCCTCCCACGGAGCAGGGAGCCTGATGTGGGGCTTGATCCCAGGATCCTGGGATCATGACCTGAGCTGAAGGCAGACGCTTAATGACTGAGCCACCCAGGCGCCCTCTGGAGGTCATCGTTAAACAAAGAAGCTTCTCTCTTGCTTTTCTACCTGTCACGTAGGCTAACAACTCACAGGTCTCCCAGCTCACGTGCTGTCTAACAGATCAGAGATTTTCACTGTACCAACACATGTCCGGCCCTGGGACCGAGCATTCCCAATTTATCTTGGGACATATTCAAGGGACTGTGCTATTCAAGTGCTGGGAAAGGTAAGCCTAAAATCCTCCCAGGCAGATCTAGGTCTGGAGGAAAAAGAGTAAGGTCTGCTGCTAACACTTTGCTCACATAATAAGGTATCCAATCACGTGTAGATAGCTTAGTTTTCATAAAGTGAGTAGATCTGTGTAACTAGCACTCAGATTCAGAAATGGTACATTCCAGAATTTCAGAATCCATTCTCATTTCCTATTCAAGTCATTAATCCAATAGTAATCAATATCCTGATTTCCTACACCATGGATTAGTGTGGGCTTTTTTGAACTTTATATAAGTGAAATCCAATGGTATGTTCTCTTTCATGCCTGGTTTCTTTCACTTAATATGTTTGTTTAATCCATCCATGTTGTATGTAGTTGTATTTCATCAATTCTATGTCTGTATAGTCATCCATTGTATAATTACACCACAGATTATTTATCTGTTCTACTCTTTATGGACATTTGGGTTGTTTCTGGTTTTTGGCTATTAGGGTTGGTGCTGCTATGAACATCGTTCTACACGTCTAATGGTGAAAATATGAATGTATCTCTGTTATGTATATGCTTAGGAGTGGAATTGCAGGGCCAAAAACTATGTGTGTGTTCAGCTTTTATAAGTAGTGCCAAGCACTGTTCTAAGTGGACATTACCAAGGACACAACCAGCAGCAGTGTGTGAACATTCCAGTTGCTTCACGTCCTCAATGGTATTTGGAATCGTCTTGCTCATTACAAGGGCCAAAGGATTTTTATGAGCAAGGATGTCACATATTTACTTTTGTTTGTTGAGCGCTGTTACAGTATAATCTCTTTCCTGCACTCTTTGTTGTCCGCATAGCAGTGTGCTCCATGCACGACCAAAAATAAGTAGTATTTGAGAGGATCAAAATGATTTGGGGCAATACAAAAGGAAAAATATTAGAGATGTAATGCAGAGAAGGGGAACTTGATAGAAGAAAGAACTTGGATCTGGAGATATTATGAAAGATCTGAGTTTCTCATCATGTGTGGGATGAACACACACACGCACACCCCACATGGCTATTTGTCTCTCTAATTTCTTTCCATGGAGTGGGGTCTTATTAAATGAAAGCTCATGATTTGATAAGAAATGTGATAGGTTTGACTACATAAGTTTGGGGGTAGGCATCAGAGACAGATGCATGGCTTGACCTGGAGAAAAACTGGAGACGGGCAGGAGATGAGAGAAGCAGATAAAAGAGCTGGAGCGAGGACGCTGCCTGATGGCAGTGAGAGACTTGGGAGAGCAGGAACGTCTGTTATCTTGTGCTGTCCCACCCCTGTGACCCCAGACATTCCTTAAAGTCAACCGGGCTCATGAAGGCTGTGTTTGAGTGGATTTTATTGTGTGTGTGGGGAGAGCATAGTGTGTACTTCACACCTGGTTCTACATGGTGCAGGGCAGCACCTGGGAAGAAGAAGACACCGCGGGACAGAAGAAACTTAGCATATAAGCCCCCAGGGAACTTGTCTAAATCTTGGGGAAAGCTTTGGTTATGTACCGTGGTACAACTGCCGCACTGAGGATTGAACTTGATTTTGAGGATAGAAAGAACCTCCCCTAACCCCTGGGCTACAGACACTAAACTTCATAGCAACCTGGATAAATGGGAGAATCAAGGAGTTCTTATCTGGGTGATGGCTGCGCTGGTGGGAAAATCCCACATAAATGGTATGGAATGCAAAAGAGAATGTGTAACAGGAGAGCATCAGCCAGTGATGCAGCGAGACAAGAAGAGTGTAGACCAGGGTGGAGCCATGGCCCTGAGCCACGCCCAGAGAAGAACTGCTCCAGTTCCGTTGTGGAAACTGGGAAGTCAAACAGGGAAGCG